GGATCAAGTGGTTTGATCTCATGCGTGTCTGTGGGAGATAGCAATGGAGTGTAACTATTGGGATCAAGTTGTATGATCTCATGTGTGTCTGTGGGAGATAGCAATGAAGTGTAACTATTGGGATCAAGTGATATGATCTCATGCGTGTCTGTGGAAGAGAGCAATGGAGTATAACTATTGGGATCAAATGATATGATCTCATGCTAGTCTGTGAGAGAGAGCATGTGATGTAAGCTTAAGTGATGGACTGTATGACATTAGACTGTCCTGTATTTAGTTCCTGCCAATGCGATGACTTGGTTTGTGGTGCGGTGACCGACTTACACTTGACTTCCTATGTGAGTAATTGCAACTGTGCCGGATGAGTTACCGTATATAGCACCCATCAATAAACCGTGTTTATCCGCATCCGTATAAAACCCGGTTTAGGCAGTCCACATAGCCACTCACCAGTTTGTCGGCCACCTCCTCAATCTGTGTGCCTGTGGCAGTCTCCAGTTGCTCCGTCAGACTCTCCACCTCAGTGGTGATGTGCAGTGACTGTTCACGCTCGTACGCTTCATTCTCATCTGAGCGGTACAGAATAACACGAGTACACATGAATCACTACAGTACATGCATACATACGGCTATCTGTAGCGTTATGTGATCAGATTACTTATAGTATTTAGAGTTTGTATATAGGGTTCTTTATGTAGTTAGGGGTCTTCGAGTACTGTCTGTTAGTTTCCACTTGGTGCGAATTCATAGGCATAGACACACAGATACATCCCAAAACTCTAAAACCCTAAACCCAATCATTGATTGGCAGCGTAAGGCTGGTCCGTAGATCCAGTCTTGGGTGTACTCATACGCCTGTTGGTCGAGAGAGAAGGCAATCTACACACCCTAAATCGGAGCAGTCTAAAAAATAGTCTATAATACACTAACAGAAACACTTTAAAAGCAGTCTACTGATTAGCTAAACCCTAAACCCTAATCTATTAATAGAAAAACTCTGAAATAAAATATTTATAAAAACTCTGAGGCACTTACCATACTCGGTAAACTCTTCCTCGTCAATTTCTGCAAAGGGGTCGTCATCGTCGGATGAATCGCTTTGCTGTGAATGGACACAACACAGTAAACCAGGTTTATGAATTTAAAGGTTATTTAAACTTAACTTTTGATCATTGAAGTGTGGTTATAGCAATTGAGTCACGTACGAAGTACAGGAGTCCGTGTTTGGGTTATATACTAAGTACAAGGGATAAGGGTTTTAGAAAGGGTTTTTGGTACAAGTCATAGTCACATATAAAGTATGAGGATGAGTGTTTTAACCCTAAAAAGCTAAAACTGGCAGGTTTTAGGTTCAGGGATTATCAATAAACCCCAAAAATTCTGAACTCCTAGTTTTATTTATACCATTGGTTGTCGTGGTTGGGAAGGGGTAGAAACACCAAAACCTAACCCTACAACCTTAAATCCTTAAACCATAAACCTAAAAAAACCATAAAATCGTTTCAAAGTGGCTGCCGCTGTTGTTAAATCAAGATTGAGATGCTTTATATCCTCTCACTGTATCAAATTCTCAATTAAACCATACACGACTAAGAACTGGACAAAACCCAAACCCCTAGTCCTAAAACCCTAAATTGGTCATATAATTATCAGCTGTAATATAATTCGAGTGCATGCCGATTATTGGACTTTGTACATACGCCCCCGAATAAGGAGTGTATTTTAGGGTTTAAGAGTTTTCCAATTAATTGCCCACAAATATACGTACCAACGACAGATTGGAAACGGTCTCGTCTTCAGATCCTTGAGTGAACACTTTTCGTAGCTGCGTAATCAATCGGAAAGTATATAAGTGAGTGCGTACAATAGCGTGAATTAATGTGAAAGTGTGAAATAGTTTAATAGTGAGAAATACAAACACATACGCCGCCATTCATAGACAACAGCCAAACACATCAGAGTATGCCGTTGACAATACGAGTGACGAGGAGTACTTGAATAACTCTATCACGTACTGTTTACGATTTAGCGTCCCGCTTTCGAACATGAAGACTTCGTTAGCAGATTACTTGTGATAGGTCTATATATATATATATATATATATATATATATATATATATA